CTCCAGAGGTCCAGTCCACCCACCTTCAGATGTGTAGATGCACGGATCTCTCAGGTTGCTGTTGTGCTGTGCAGGGAGTCTTTTGTTGGTCAATGGATGTCCAACTGGTTGTAACTTAGAGGAGAAAGACAAAGAGAATAACTCACTCCACCGTGATGCTGAAACCACTCCAAATGTTATCAATTTTGACAATACGAAAGTAAAATAAAAACACATATAACATATGTTAGTGGGGGCGGAGGAGACTATAGGTTATAAGGCCCTCATCTGAGAGGTCTCACTTCTTGGGGGTCCATAAGATAGGGAGCTAGTGTAATATTTTAAGGTACAAAGATGATAAATAGGGGAATTAAAATGAGTACTGTAACCAGCTATATCAGTAAGTTGGCAAAAGGGCAAAAGGATGGTGTGAGTGAGCTCAACTCCCATTTATCATTGTGGGAGTCCTATAGGTGATGCTTGACCTTGAGAAATGGGGCAATCCAGGCAGAAGCCTGTTTGTAGAGGTCAGCATGTACCTGCTAGAAGACAGAGCTAAATATTTAAAAGTCATTCCCTCCAGGAGACAGGACTGGGAACTGGGTAGGGGACAGTTATTCTGATCCAAGCATAGGTACCACTTTGATAAAAATTCAAAAGTTACTTTCAAAAGAGAGAAGAAACTACAAAAACATTCTTATAGAAAGAGTCAGTGCATGGATGCTGCTGCCTAGCCTTCCTGTAATTGCGTTAAAGCTGATTTCACTGCTTTCTGAGGGCACGGCAGAGCTGGTCAGGAGGAACTGGGTGGCTGGGCACAGTCTCCAATGAAGTATGTGTGCCCTGGCTTTTCCATTCTACCATCAGTGATTCTAAAAGTGAATTTTATTTTAAAACAGCAATTCTTATAATAATATAGGCTAAAAATATAAATATATACATATGGAGAAATAGAGAAAGAAATAGAGAAAGAAAAAGTTGTACAAAACTAGAAAAATTTGATTTCCATTTTAAGACTTTCGAAAACTCATTCGTAGGCCACCGTCGTCCTCTGCTGGTAGTTGGTGTCACTGCACTCTGTGGTACTGCCCCTCCATCCTGGGTATGACTGTGGTTCTGACCATCCTTCCAACCACATGGAGTGCAGCTGGATCCAGGCGTGGAGCTGGGTGCTAGGAGGCTGGAGAGACAGAGTGGTCCTCGGCTCTGTAAGAGATGCTGTGCTCTGCAGTGATGTTGCTGGTCACTAGAGCACTGGACCCTGTCCCAAGGCAAGTAGGACATATGGTCACGTCCAGCCACGTGGCATGCACTGCAGACGATTCACCTTTTTTAAAGAATCACACATATTTCAAATGTTTGTGTTATTTTTTTCCATTTTGCAATTTATGTCTAGAAACTCTAGTGTGGAATTGATCACAGAGTAATTTTTATGATGGTATTTCACAATAATAGTGACAATAGTTTTCAGTTTTTGGTGAAAAACAGTGCAGTTACAAATCAATTAGTATTATGAACTCTGAGTTATAATTACAAGAATCAGTTTCACATTTATACTATTAATGTAAAGGAATATATATTCGTAAGAAATCTCAGTTACATCCCTAAAATAGACACAAAATAGATTAAGAGGAGATAGTCTAAGAATATTTGGGACCTTAGAACTTGATCAGTGTTTTTATTAATATAATCATCATCAGTGTTGAGTCTTTATATAAATTTAAAAGTCACTTTTTATCCAAAATCTGGCCATGACACCATAATGAATATCATACTCTTGTACCGTAAAACTTGACAAAGTACATAAAGTAGTTGTTTTCAGGCACTGAACAGCAAACGGCATAAAGCAGCAATCCTTGTAAAAAGAGAGCATCAAAAGTGAGCACCACATTCACCCTTGCTTTCTGCCTGGTGGTAGGGGGGCTGCTGTCCAAATGACAGCCCTGGAAAGTGGAGCCCAGGCCAAAGAAATGCTAGGAGGAAATAGGGATCAAAGCCTGGGGCTGCTGAGACAGCTGTAATTTATAGGATATGATATGAGAGAATGGGTTCCTGGACAGAGAATGTGTGCACTCACTCTGCGTAAAAGTACTATGCACAGGAGTAGATTCCACAGGGCCTGGCAGGAAACACGTAGTGGGGCAGGGCGGGGCTCCTAAGCTGAAGAGAGGTGCTGAAGGCCACCCTGTGCTGGGGTGTTGGAATTAACCAGTAAGAGTCGGGGAGGCCTCACTGAACTCCTTAGGCACTCAGAAAGACCATGGCCTATACAGGCTGCTCTAGATTTGCCCTAAAAAAGCCTATTCCAAATCCCAGTAGGATGAGGCTGAGCCACCAGTAAATTAACTGCCTGGCAGAATGAGACCCAGTCTTCCTTTAAAGGAAGGCAACATAACTCACACTCTCAACAATGTACCCCAGTGCCCAGTGTAAAATAAAAACTTACTAGACACATGGAAAAACATGAAAACGTGGCCCATAGCAGGAGAAAAAAATGGTAAGTAGAATAGAGAAAACAGTCAGCAGACCCAGACATGACACAAATGTTGGAGTTAGCAGACAATGAATTCAAAACAGCTATTACAAGTACAAGAAAGTATTTGGACAAATTGGTGTACGGGTGGTGAGTTCCCACAAAGAAATGGAAACTATAATAAAGAACTAAGTGGAAATTCTAGAACTGAAAATACGACATCTGACATGGAAATTATCCCTGGGAGAGCTTAGCGTCTGAACACTGAAGAAATGATGAGTGTGAATACTGGTCATCAGACAATTGAAGCTGAAGCACAGGGGAAAAGATTGAAAAGCAAGTGGGCAGAGCCTCAGGGCCTGTGGGACAGCACGCGTGGTCGCCACAAGTGAGTGAGTCTCAGAAGGACAGGGGCAAGTGGGGAGGAAGAACACATACATTTGAAAACAGAATAACTAAAATTTTTTCAAATTGAATTAAAAATATCAACCCAGAGGTCCAAGATTTCCAGTGACCCCCAAGCAGGATGAGTACAAAGAAAACCACACCTATTTTCATTGGAGTAAAATTGCTGAAGATGAAGATAGCCAGAAAACTTCTTGGGAAGAAGTTAGAAGGGGAAAAGGAGGCATCACACACGGGAAAACAAGGATAAGACTGTTGACTTCTCAACAGAAGCACTGCAAACCATTTTAGGTGTTAAGAAAGAAAAACCCATCGATCTAGACTTCTGTATCCACTGAAAATAGCCTTCAAAAAATGAAGGCAAAAAAAAAGACGTTTTAAGATTAACTAAAGCTAAGAGAGTCCACTGCCAGAAGAGCTGCAGAACGAGAAATGCTAACGGGAATTCTTCAGGCGGGTGGGAACTCGGGTCAGGAAGTAATCAGATAAATGGTAAACGTGTGGATAAACATAAAAGGTGGTTTTTCCTTCAGTTTTTAAATTCTCTAAAAGACGTTTTCTTGTTTAAAACAAAAATATGTTGCATTGTGGGATCATTAATAAATGTAGAAGTAAAATGGATGACAGTGGTAACACAAAGGATGGGGAGGCGAGAAACAGAAGTGTATTGTGTAGGATTCTTACATCATCTGTGAGATGATGTGGAACTGATTCAGATAGACCATGACCAGTGAAGGACGTGTTGCAATCTCTAGAGCGAGTCCTAAAAAAGATGAAACAAACAGATGTAACTGAAAACTCAACAGAGGAGATAAAACAGAATACTAAAAAATGTTCAGTTAAGCCAAAAGAGGGGAAAAAAGAAACAAAGAACACATGGGACAGAAGGAAAACAAACAGCAAAATAAAGTTAAGTCCAGCCATTTCAATCGATCCATCAAATGTAAGTGGACCAACACTCCAGTTAAAATGCAAAGTTCATCACACTGAATACAGAAAGCAAGGCTCAACTAGAAGCTATTTTCAAGGACGCTCTTTAAATATAAAGACACCCGTTAAAAGTAAGAGTGGAGGGGCCGGCCCTGTGGCGAGTGGTTGGGTTCACGTGCTCTGCTTCAGTGGCCCAGGATTTTGGCGCTTCGAATCCTGGGTGTGGACATGGCACTGCTCGTCAAGCCACGCTGAGGTGGCATCCCACATGCCACAGCTGGAAGGAGCCACAACAAAAAGTGCACAACTATGTAACTATGTACCGGGGGGCTTTGGGGAGAAAGAGGAAAAATAAAATGTTTAAAAAAAAAAAAGAGTGGAAGAGATGCTGTGTGAACTCTAGTCATAGGACACAAGTGTGGCTGTACTAGGACAGCCAACAGGTGTCATCAGAGATAGAGATTGCTTAGTGATAAAAGGGTTAAACCAGCCAGGAAACAGGAAAATCCTAAATGTGTGTACACTCAATAGCAGAGCTTGGCAAGTCCAGGGCTTCAGAGCAGCCCAGGCCCATGGAGAGAGTCTACCCAGGAACCACTCTGTTTCTCTTAGATAGGTTCGGTGCCCCTGAGCTGAGTTGCAGGTGCGTGGTCCCCTCCAGCACTGGACAGGGAATGATGTCTTACTGTGTGTGGTGGTGTATGTGCCCAAGCCACGGCTTGGCTGGCTTAGAAAATGTTTAGGGACAAGGGATTGCATGGCATTGTTGATACTGCTGAATCGAAACTGTCCAGGACTTAGCTCTGGCCGAGTGGAGGCACTGAGACAGAACGGGCATGGGGCCAGAGAACGGAGCCCCACTGCTCCCGGTGTGCTCAGCTATGCTCAGAGGGGAGAGCCCCACAGAGGGGCCTGTCCTGCTCACCTGTGGCTACACAAGATACCCTGCAAATTAGTCATTTAAAACATCAGCTTCTGGTTCTGTCTCATTGACTCAGCCAGTCAATTCTGGTTTGGGGACTTCTGTGAGGTCACTCTGGACGTCCCTGGGCTCACTCCAATGGCTGGATGTTCCCAAGCCTTGCTCCCATGGCTGGACATCCCTAGGGATCAGTCCCACACTGGCCATCCCCAGGGCTCACTCACCGTTCTGCATGGCACCTGTGTGCCTGCAGAGAGAGCCCCCGTGTGCTAAGGCACTCTCTGTGTCCAGGGTGGAAGCTCAGCTGATGGCTGAAATGCTGAGCACCACAGCCTGTACGCAGGGCAGGAGCATCCTGGAGAACCTGAGGGGGAGGAAGCAGCTACGCCTGCCGGCCGCCAAGGCCTTCCTGGAGAGCGCGAGGTACTGTGCTAAGTGACTGGGGTGGGGGATGGGGAGTGGGAGGAGAATTGCGTGGGGTGGCTGCCATTGGTGTGCGGACTGTGAGATAAATGGCAACTGCAGTGTCTGAAATGAAGCGCACGCTGCTCAGAGGGGACTGTCACTGAGGCTGGCCCCTCTCCTGGTGGTCTTGTGACTAGGGTCATCTCCTGACCTGGTGGGGATGCCCACCTTGCCCCATGCTCACAGGGGCCCTTGGGTGGCTGAGATGGAGTGTCCTGGGCAGTCGTGTGAGAAGCTAAGCTGGAGCGGCACAGGGCAGGGTAGGGCAGGGAATGGGGAAGGGGCTGTGGTGTTGAGCAGATCCCATCAGGGGCGCCCCAGGAGCCCTGGCCTGCAGAGCTGGCCACAGGACATAGGCCCACAGGAGGGAGGGAGCGAGTGCATCATGGGCTTCAGGTGCCGCTGCCCCGGTCACCGGTATTGGCACCTCTCTAGGCCAGGAATTCCCTTTCAGGTTTGGGGGCATGGCGGGGAGCAGTGCCCTGGTGATGCTGGCCGCCCGGCACTACTGGAACACCTGGCTCCCGCTGCTGTCCTCTGCGGGCAACAGGAAGAAATGCAAGGGTGCCTTACAGAGGATCATCAGCATCATCAACAAGACAGAAGCGAAAAAGCAGGTATGCTATGGGGCCACGGAGGGGCAGGCTTCCTAGGGTTCTTCTTCCAGAAAGGGCAAGTGAAAGCAGACCAAATGGAGCTGCTCAAACAAGGCATAGGGTGGCCTGCAGAGAGGGGGTGTGGAGGACGAGGACATCCCGAAATCCCAATGTGACAGGGTGGGGCGGCTCCTGGCCTGAGCTCAATTAGGAGAGGGGAGAGGAGGAGGCTGGGGAATGGAACAGCAGATTCAGACAGCTGAGGAAGACCCCGGAAGCCGCTGGGCAGGTGCACACCCAGACCAATGAGGTCTTGGCCTGGCTGTGATAAGGGGACATTGCCCACCCCCACCCCCATCCCCACCCCCAGTGAGTGTGTTCTTGGTGGAGGGAACTTCCCTGGCTCAGGAGCCCCAGGGGCTCCCTCCCTCCACCTGGCCCCTGAGGCAGGGAGGGCTGGCCCGACCAAGTTACAGGGGGTGCTTGGAGGTCAGCGAAGGCTGACCCAGCCTGCCTGCTGGCCGCATGTGTCCTGCAGCTTCCCAGCCCCAGGACGTGGCCTCTCATGGGGCCTCCAGTACTTTTCCTGTCTGCCCAGGAAGGCCAGACCTGAGATTGCATACCTACAAACCTGTGGTTTCCAGCAGGGCCCTGCTGAAGGGCCGGTCTGCAGGTCAAAGGCTGTAGTGAGAGCCTAGGAACCGAGCCCATGGACGGAGCTCTCGGGCCCTTGCTCCAGGGCCCAGCAAAGTCCTCAGAAGCCAGCAGCCAGACGAGCCGTGGGAGGTTTGGCTAGGACAGGATGGGGGAGCTGCCCTCTCGGCTGATTCTGCAGCTGGACCTGTGTCAGGAGGGCCCACAGCCATGAGTAAAAGTGTGGCTTTCCCGTGGCTCGTCCCGGCAGGCTAGGAGCCTGCAGTTCAAGAGACAGCAAGGAGAAAATTGAAAGTCACAGCCTCATGTAAGAGAATGGTCGAGGCTTCCTATTTTCTTACCAAGATATTTATGACCTGTAATAATCTAGGCCGGGGTGAGCATACTGCTGCGGGGGGGGCCAACTCCAGTCCACCTCTTGTTTTTGTAAATACAGTTTTATTGGAGCACAGCCATGCCTACGCATTTACAGATTGTCTGTGGCTTTGCTACAACAGTAGAGTGGAGTAATTGTGACAGAGACCTTGTGGCCCAAAAAGCCGCAAGTACTTACTATCTGGCACTTTTAGAGAAAAAATTGACCAAGCCCTGGTCTAGAAATTAATAAAACTTACCAAAAGTTCAGTTCTTTCTAATGTGCCCTTTTAAAACTGTGACAAAATGTACATAACATGATATTTATCATTTTAACCATTCATTAAGTGTGCAGTTCAGTGACGTTAATTATATTCACAGTGTCTGTGACCATCACCACTCTCTGTACCTAAAACATTTTTATCATCTGCAACAAAACTCTGTACCCGTTAAGCAATACCTCTTCTCCCCCGAGCCCCTGGTGGCATCTATTCTGCTTTCTGTCTCTATGAATTGGACTCCTCGAGGGACCTCATATAAGTAGAATCATATAGTATTTGTCCTTCTGTGAGTGGGGTATTTCACTGAGCATAATGTCCTCAAGGTCCATCCATGTTGTAGCATATTGCAGAATGTCCTTCCTTTTTATGGCTGGATAAATACTCCATTGTATGGATGGACCACATTTTGTTTATCTGTTCACCTGTTGATGGAGATGAGTTGTTTCCGCTTTTTGGCTATTGTGAATAGTACTGCTGTGAACATGGGTGTACTCATATCTCTGTGTCCCCACTGTCCGTTCTTTTGGGTACGTACCTGAGAGTGGAGTTGCTGGGTTATGTGGTGGTTCTGTATTTAACCTTTTGAGGAACTGCCAAACTGTTTCCCAGCAGCTGCACACTGTACATTCCCACCAGCAATGCACAAGGGTTCCAGTTTCTAAACTTCCTTGTCAATACTTATTTTCCTTTTTTTTTTTTTACATTACAGCCATCCTAATAGATGTGAAGTTGTATCTCATTGTGGTTTTGATTTATGTGTCTCTTATGACTGATGATATTGAGTATCTTTTCATGTGCTTATTAGTCACCTGCATATTTTCTTTGGTGAAATGTCTATTCAAGTACTTTGCCAGTATTTAAATTGGTTTGTTTTTTGTTGTTGAATTGTAGGAGTTGTCTATATATTCTGGATATTAATCCCTTATCAGATACATGATTTGCAGATTTTTTTCTCCCATTCATGTGGTTGCCTTTTCACTCCCTTGATAGTGCCCTTTGATGCACAAAAGTTCTTAATTTTGATAAAGTTCAACTATGTTTTCTTTTGTTGCCTTTGTTTTTTGGTGTTATATGTATGAAGTCAGTGCCAAAATCCAGTGTCATGGAGGTTTTTTCCTCAATGTTTTCTTCTAAGAGTTTTACAGCTTTAGCTCTTATGTTTAGGTCTTTTTCTCCCCATTTTGAGTTAATTTTAGTATATGGTGTAAGGTAAGTGTGCAATTTCATTTTTTTGCATGTGGATGTCCAGTTTTCTCAGTACCACTTGTTGAAAGACTGTCCTTTCCCCATTGGATGGTCTTAGCATCCTTGTCAAAAATCATTTCACCATATACGCAAGTGTCTATTTCTGGGCTCTCTAGTCTGTTTCATTGGTCTGTATGTCTGTCCTTATGCCAGTACCACATTATTTTCATTACTGTAGCTTTGTAGTAAATTCTGAAGTCAGGAATTAGGAATCCTCCCACTTTCTTCTTCTTTTTTAAGATTGTTTTAGCTACTTGGGGCCACTTGCAATTCCATATGAATTTGAGGATTGGCTTTTCCATTTCTTCAGAAAAGGCTGTTGGAATTTTGAGAGGGATTGTGTTGAATCTGTAGATGACTTTGGGTAGTATTGACGTCTTGACAATGTTAAGTCTTCCTATCCATGAACATGGGATGTTCATTTGTTTAGTTCTTCTTTAATATCTTTCAACAATGTTTTATAGTTTTCAGCATATAAGTCTTTCACCTCTTTGGAAGTATTTAATTCTTTTATGTGTTGTTGTAAATGGAATTGCTTTTTGTCTTAGTCAGCACAGGTTGCCATAACAAAATACCACAGACTAAGGAGGCTTAAATAACAGAAATTTATTTCTCACAGTTCTGTAGGCTGGAAGTCCAAAATCAAGGATCCAGAATGGCCAGGTTCTGATAAAGACCTTCTTCCTGGCTTGCAGATAGCTGCCTTCTTGTTCTGTCCTCATATGGTGGAAGGGGAGGGGGAAGCAAGCTCTCTAGTGTCTCTTTCTCTAAGGACACTAATCCCATCACGTGGAGCCCACCCTCATGACCTCCTCTAACCCTAATTACCTCCCAAAGACCCCATCTCCAAATACTATCACATTGGAGATTACAGCTTCTATATGAATTGGAGGGGGGTGCACGCAGTTAAATTCATAGCTCTTTCTTAATTTCCTTCTGGGATTATTCATTGCTGATGTATAGAAGCACAACTGATTGTTGTATGTTGATCTTGTGTCCTACAGATTTGCTGAATTCGTTTATTCACTCTAGTAGTTTTCCTGTGGATTCTTTGGGATTTTCTATACATAGGATCACGTAATCTGTGAACAGAGATAGTGTTGCCTCTTCCTTTCCAATTTGGATACCTTTTATTTCTTTTTCTTGTCTATTAGCTCTGGCTAGAACTTCCAGTAAAATGTTGAATAGCATTGGTAAAAGCAGGTATCCTTGTTCTCATCTCAGAGGGAAAGCTTCAGTCTTTCACTGTTGAGTAGGATGTTAGCTGTGAGTTTTTCATAAATACCTTTTATTGTGTTGAGGAATTTTCACACTGTTCCTAGTTTTCTGAGAGATTTTATGATGAAAGTTTGTTGGATTTAGTCAACTGCCTTTCGTCCATCAATTATGGTGATCATGTGGTTTTTCTCCCTCATTGTATTAATGTGATGTATTCCATTGATTGATCCTCTTATGTTGAACCACCCTTGTATTCCTGGGATAAATCCCACTTGGTCACGGTGATTAACACTTTTACTATACTGTTGGATTTGATTTGCAAGTATTTGTAGAAGATTTTTGTATCTTTATTCATAAAGGATATTGGCCTGTAATTTTCTTTTCTCGTGATGTCTTTATCTGGGTTTGCTGTCAAAGTAAAGAGTTAGGAAGTGTTCCTTCCTCTTCAATTTGTTGAAGAGTTAAGAAGCATTAGTGTCAACTCTTTGTTAAATGTTTGGTAGAGTTCACCTGTGAAGCCATTTGGTGTGGGATTTTTTTTTTATTGGAGGTTTCTTTTTGCTGATTCAATCTCTGCTTGTTAGAAGTTTCTCGAGATTTTCTATTTCTTCTTGCATCAGCTTGGGTAATTTGTGTGTTTCAAGGGCTTTTTCCATTTCTTCTCGGTTATCAGATTTGTTGGCGTGCAGTTGTTCATGGGATTCTCCCATAATCCTTTCTAGCTCTCTAGGGTTAGTAGTAACATTCTCACTTTCATTTCTGATTTTAGTTATTTGTGTCTGCTTTGTTTTTTTCTTTACCAGTCTACCTAAAGATTTTCAGTTTTGTTGATCATTTCAAAGAACCAACTTTTGGTTTCATTGATTTTCCTCTGTGGTTTTTCTGTTCTCTGTTTTGTTTATCTCTGCTCTAATCTTTATTATTTCCTTCCTTCTGCCAGCTTTGTGTTTAGTTTATTCTTCTTTTTCTAGTTCCTTAAAATGTAAAGATAGGTTGTTGTTGAAGATCTTTCTTCTTTTTCACTGTAGGCATTTACAGCTAGGAGCTTCCCTCTGAGCACTGTTTGTGCTGTGTCCATAAGTCTGTTCTCATGTACTTTTGGTCCCATTGATTTAAGGCTATGAAACTGACTTGGATGCTTCATGTCATTGGAAACGTTGTGGGCCGTGTTGGGGGATAGTCTCTGCGTCGTAATGTAGTATACCTCGCACTGAGAGCTTTTCTTGTGGGTGAGATGTGATGTCACTCTTTGTGACCTGGTACTTCAGAAATGTAGCTGCAATTTCTGTGATTATATACTGAGCCAATGGAAAACAAGCAGTGAAAGAATAAATTGCAACTTTCAAGTATATGTGTTGTTTGTTCGTTTTTACTTTAGGAAAAAGGGAAAACGCTCCTTCTGCACCAGTGGCCTACAGCGGACTTACAGAGTGGAGGGACTACTGAAGGTTATTTTCTCCCAGGTTTGTAGATGCAAGACAGACAGAGCCACAGGCAAAAAGAAAGGGAAGGACTCTGTGCTTTTAAATTCCTGCCCCTTATTTAAAGCCAGCTTTATCATGACAGTAACCACAGGCAGTGTCTGCTCAGTAGTTAATGCCTGACAAGCACTGTGAGTGCTTTTCCTGAACAACTTTATGAAATCCCCACTGTTTTCCCCACAAGAAAACCAAAGCCCAGATGGACCCTTGTTGTCCAGGGCCACACTGGTCCTCCTGGGCCACCTGGGTCCAGAGCCAGTGCTCTCGGCCTCATAGTGGCTGCTTGAAATCTAGCCTCTGGGTTATTCTGACAGATAAATCATATTCTTCTACTTCCATAAAAAATCTGGAGATATACTCCTGCAAAAAGAAAAATGCCGACCTCAGAACAATAAGACTATATTTTAGAATTCATGTTTAAAGAAAACAATCATGATTATCTTCTAAAAATTAATCATTCCTGAGAGTATAAGAGTCCCAGTGTGTCTTGGGGAGTGCTTCAGAGCCTGTTTAGAGAGAGAAACTTGATAAAAATAGTGAACGACAATGTGCCCATGTGTGATTAGAGACTGGGTTGCGCACTAAACCCCAGCCGTTGGCATCACATGCTGGTGCTGCAGAGAGGGCTGTAGGTGCAGCCGTCTGGGAGGCAGAAAGCGGCCCAGACACTGAGAATGCGACGTCTGGTAAAGAGCCAGGCTGCGGGGTAAAACACAGCCCTGCTGCGGGGAGGGTAGAAGTCAGGCTGCACTGAGCTCTGTGTGCTAGGATAAACATCAGATAGGTACAATATGTAGTGGTTTTAAAAATTCAAATTCTAGGAAAAAAAAATAGAGAATAAAATTGAGCGTACCAGTGATCATAGAGGCACACTTTCAAATATACGAAAATTTTATGAATGAGAAATGCAGGAAATTAAAAAGTAAACAGGGGCCAGCACCCTGGCCGAGAGGTTAAATTTGCGTGCTCTGCTTTGGTGGCCTGGGGTTCACCCATTTGGATCCTGGGCACGGACCTACGCACTGCTCATTAAGCTGTGCTGAGCCGGCATCCCACATAGAAGAACTGGAATGACCTACAACTAGGATATACAACTGTGTGCTGGGCTTTGGGGAGGGAAAAAAAGAGGAAGATTGACAACAGATGTTAGCTCAGGGCCAACCTTCCTCACCAAAAAGCAAAAAAATGAAATAAAATAAACACTGGGAAGATATTTGCGTCAAATTTGGCAGCTAAATGATTAGTCTCTTTAACACATAAACAGTCGTATTAGCAGGGTAGGATATGCTGTGCCGCAGTAACAACCCCCAGGCTCAGCGGCTCGGTCCACACAAGCAGTGTCCTCCCTTGAGGCCCTCGTTCATCCTGAGGCACCGTCTGCAACCAGTGGCCTCCAGGGCAAGGGGGACGGAGGAGGAGCACTGTCCCATGCATGGCCCCAGACAGCTGCTGCAGTATTGGGCAAGCAGGGTCTCTGCCATGTGCCTCCATAGGCTGAGTGGAAAGACATGACCGTGATTGTGCATCAAGGAAATGCAGTGTGAAGGGCGGGGCCTCTCAGCTAATCAGAACTGGAAATCACATATGGAAGTGGCCCTTGCCACTCCAGTTGGTGGTTCCCAAGTTCGGCTGGCTGAGATGTGGGTAATGAACTCAGACAGTGGAGGAGTCCATGTTATGGAACCTACCTGGTTCCCACGTTTCAGACATTGACCAGCGTATCCAGCTGTGCGTTTAAATCTACCCTCTCCTGGGCTTGGAGAGCAGAGACACCTGTATATTTAACTCCCCAGCCCTGAAAGCGTGGAGGCCACAGTGAGCCCACAAGTCCTGGGCAGTATGAGCTGGTGGGTTCTCTTAGCCAGCAGCGTGCCAGTGTGAGTGGCAAGATCCATGGGCATGTTAACCGCTTTGCTCCGATTCAAAAAAGAGAAGGGAAGCTGGGTGGTCAATGATGTAAAATAGAACAACTTAAGTGTCTAGTACCAGGGTGGGAACAACCTGAGTGTCCAGTACCAGCAACGGGGACAACCTGAGTGTCTGGTAACAGTGGTGGGAACAACCTGAGTGTCCAGTACCAGCAACAGGGACAACCTGAGTGTCCGGTACCAGCGGTGGGGACAACCTGAGTGTCCAGTACCAGTGGTGGGGACAACGTGAGTGTCCGATACCAGCAATGGGGACAACCTGAGTGTCTGGTACCAGCAGTGGGAACAACCTGAGTGTGCAGTACCACCAGTGGGAACAACATGAGTGTCCACCACCAGCGATGGGAATAACCTGAGTGTCCGATACCAGCAGTGGGAACAATGTGAGTGTCCACTACGAGCGGTGGGAACAACCTGCTTGTCTGGTACCTGCGGTAGAAACAACCTGAGTGTCCAGTACCAGCAGTAGGGACAACCTGAGTGTCTAGTACCAGTGGTGGGGACAACCTGAGTGCCCAGCACCAGCAGTAGGAACAACCTAGTATCCAGTACCAGCGGTGGGAACAACATGAGTTTCTGGTACCAGCGTTGGGACGAACCTAAGTGTCCGGTACCAGGGATGGGAACAACCTGGCGTCCAGTACCAGTGGTGAGAACAAAGTGAGTGTCCACTACCAGCAATAGGAGCAACCTGAGAGTCCCATACCAGCGGTGGGGACAACCTGAGTGTCTAGTACCAGCGGTGGGACAACCTGTGGTGGTGGAAACAACCTGAGTGTCCGGTACCGGCAGTGGGAACAACCTGGGTGTCCAGTCCTAGCAGCGCGGCCTCTGCTTAGCTAAGCAGTGGGGCTGAAGCTGCGGTGCTGGTGTGTTTGGTGGCGAATCCACAAGACTCACGGATTCCTCCCCTCTGTACTCTCCGCCTGCAGGAGCAGGGCAACGTGACTCATAGAGCTGTTAGGGCAGTGGGGAAAGGATTCTTCTCTCCTTAAGCCCACATTGTTTATTTTTAAGGTTACAGAAAAACAACAGGAGTTTCAAACAGAAAGAGCTTGAAGGACTGCGGAGTCTGAGAAAGCTTAAGGAGGGGGCAGCCGGGGTACAGGCCGCTCAGGAAGTACCTGCAGAAGGTCAGCCAGGTGGCGAGAGAAAGGACGAAGGGACAGCCTGCAGGTCAACAGGGTCAAAAGCCCCGTGGGGTGAGCGCCTGAGGAGCGCCCCCAGTGGTTAGTCCGGCAGGGACTGATGTGTTGGTTCCTGCCCGCGCCCGGCCCAGCGCTGCTGCCCACAGAGAAGCTCCAGTTAGCCTGAGGGCAGTTCTCGGGGACGTGTCATTGGGAGTCGCTCCTGGCACCGTGGGCTGGCTCCACAGACATGGCTGTACCTGTGTGTGAGGAAGGCAGTGCACATGCCCCGAGGTGTGCCCACATTCCACACCTGCCAGCTGGTGCAGGGCTGGTTTACAACCTGTGGTTACACCCCTCGCCGGCTATGCAGCAAGAGGCCCAGCCGCCTGGGCGCAGGTGCCGCCCTCAGCTGCCCAGGGTCTTGGGTGCCCCCGAGCACTCACCACGGACCCCCGCACACAAGGCGGGGCCCTCAAAGCGGTGGGCAGCCAGCAGGGGCAGGTGCTCCTCAGTTCCCATCAGGGGTTGGCAGTGGCAGGACCCTTGGGCCCCCTGACCCCTGTCCCCCACAGGGACCGAGGATGACCTGACTCTGCGCGCGGCGCTCTATGGCCTGCTCTTCCACTGCCACGCTGACCACGCTGACTGGGAGGGAGGCCTCAAGGTGCTGGACGAGGCTCTGCAGGTGCTGCCGCGGACGGCGCACCGCCTGTGAGTGCCCCGCCGCCCGGACCTTTCCCCGGATCCTGAGACCCCTTCCTGTCTCGGGAGCTCCCCACCTCAGGAACCCCCCCACGTCTGGGACCCCTCCCTGCCTGGGGAGCCCCCATGCGCTGGACCCCTGCCCTTGATGCCTGGGACCCCTCCTCGCTGAGAGATGCCCCAGCACCCTCTGATGCCTGGGGATCTCTCTTTGATGGGCAACCACCCTAGCCCAGAGAACCTCCCCCACACCCAGGACCTTTTGTTGCCAGGGGATCCCCTTACCCACCTGGGGACCCCTCTCCTGAAGACCCCCTCGCCCATCTGCCCCGCTCCCAGAGTGCCTCCCCCACTGCATCCTGCGGTGCCTTCTCGCGCCTGCCCCATCAGGGCCTCCTGCGCACTCCCATTTTCCCTGAGGACTTTATTTCCCCACTAAGAATTCGACACAAGCAAGGTGGGGACTTAAAACACAAGGCACTCGCGCACAAGAATAAAATCAGAGAAAATTAAGAAAAATGAAACGTGACACAACACAAAAACCCCAAGTGACTCAGGTTCTATTTTGTTTTATCTTTGTAAGAAGGAAAATGGCCAAGTACTCATTTTGGATGCATTAGATACATTTAAATTTTTTATCATTCAATTCAAGCATTTATTTCTGTCTTTTACTTTTCTTTAGCTTGATTTTTAAGCATATGGTCATTGTGAAGGCCAAACTTGGCCAGAATTTTACAATGGAGATACAGAAATTCAAAGACGAAAGTGAAGATTATTTGTCACACATGTGGCACCGCCTGGCCTTGAACTCGAAGACCATCTGTGGAGAGCTGACCTGCTATCATAATGCAATTCAGGCCTTACAGGTCTGACTCTGGTTCCCTCTGGTGGTTGTGAGTAGAGGTGGTCATGTGAGAGCAGCTGCCTGGGGAGGTGCCTGGAGGAGCTCTTGCTGCCTGGAGCAGCAGGACCACCTCCTGGGAGGTGCGTGACGGTCTCCTTTGCTGACCAGACAAGGCAGCAGATGGACCCATCTTCTGTCACCCTCTTCGCACATGGAAGGACGGGGTCCTTGCCTGTAGGGGCTGGAGGGTGATCCTCTTGCTGCATGGGAGAGAGGGAAAGAGTCGGGGAGGCCTACCCGAGGGGGAGGAGCCGAGGCCTGGTCGGGGCTGTGGAGGGAGCTGGGCTCTGCAGCTTTCTGGGATGCATGGGTCCTGGGGACATTCCTCGCCCCCAGGAAGCCAAGACAGACATTCTCCTCAGTACACCTGAAGTGAAGTAGGGTAGACCTGAGGGAACGGCACCTCAGTTTGATGCAAGAGCATCTGGAACTTGCCAAGGACAAAGGAGGCTCCTAATCGTGGACCTGAAGGTGTCCCAGACACGCATCGCAGCAGACACCTGAAAGGCTTTCTGTTAGGCGGGATGTTTCTCCCTCCTGGAACAAATCCTGCCCTGGGGTTTTGGAGAGCTCCAGGGGCCGGTGTGTCTCTCAGGAAGGGCTTAACTGGGAGCTGGTCAGGAGGCCACTCTGGGTCCAAACACGGGCTCTGCCACTTGCTGTGTGGTCAGCACCGAGGCCTGGATTCCCAACAAGTGGCTATGGGGTACCCCTACACCTTGCTTCTGGGCCAAAGACCAAGGCCTCCCTGGGCAATGGCCCCGTGGGGTACACTGGGACCAGGCAGTGTGGCCCCCCACCAGTGAAAGAAGAGGGCCTGCTCCCAGAGAGAGGCATGCCGCCCGGACAGAGTGAGCCTGTCGGCTCCCTTTGCAGCCATCGCCTTGAAAAGGCTCTGTCACCGCTGACCCCAAATCCCTTCCTGCCACTGTTTCTTCTTTTTAGGGGTAGGAGGCGTTCTTTAGTAAATTCGCAGGTTTATACAACTATCACCATAATCCATTTTAGAACTTTTCACTATTTCATCACCCCCAAAAACCCAGGTCTATTGGTACTCACTCCCCCTCCCTCCCACCAGCCCCAGGGAGCCACCAATCTACTTGCTGTCTCTATGGATTTGTCTATTCTGGACATTTCACACAAACAGAATCAGACAAGCTGTGGCCTTTGTGTCTGGCTTCTGTCACCAAACGTGATTCCACGGTTCATCATGTTGTAGCGTGTGTTGGGGCTTCCTTCCTTTTTATGGCTGAATAATGTGCCATTGTGTGGATGGACGTCACCATGTGGAGGGACATCACTGTGTGGGTGGACGTCACCGGATGGAGGGACATCGCCGGGTGGAGGGACGTCACCGTGTGGGCGGATGTCACCGGGTGGGCGGACGTCACCAGCTGGGTGGACGTCACCAGGTAGATGGACATCACCGGGTGGATGTAGTCACCGTGTGGAGGGACGTCACCGTGTGGGTGGATATCACCGTGTGGGTGGATATCACTGTGTGGAGAGACATCACTGTGTGGAGGGACATCACCGTGCGGGTGGACATCACCGTGTGGGTGGATATCACTGTGTGGAGAGACATCACTGTGATGGTGGATGTCATTGTGTGGAGGGACATCATTGTGTGGATGGACATCACTGTGAGAGACATTTTGTTGATAGGCATTTGTATTGTTTCCATTCTTTAGCTATTGTGATGAATGCTGCTATAAGCATTTGTGTACAAGTTGTTGCGTGGACATATGTTTACACATCTCTTGGGCATATACCTAGGAGTGGAATTGTTGGGTCATATGCTGACTCTATGTTTAACTATTGAGGAACGGCCAGGCTGTTTCCCACAGGGGCTGCACCATTTTACATTCCCACGAGCAGTGCACAAGGGTTCCATTTTCCCCACATCCTCACCAACCCTTATTATCCTCTGACTTTTTGGTTCTACCCATCCTAGTGGGTGCAAAATGCTATCTCATCTTTTGCATTTCCCTAATGACTAATGCTGAACATCTTTTCATGTGCTTATTCGCCATTTGTATGTCTTTGGAGAAACGTCTATTCAGATTATTTCCCTATATTTTAATTTGGTTGTTTGTCTTTTTATTGTTGAGTTGTAGGAGTTCATTATGCATCCTGGATACAAGTCTCTTATCACATATATGATTTGTAAATATTTTCTCTCACTCTGTGGGTTGTCTTTTCAACCATGTTTTCACTTTCTTGATGATGTCACTTGAGCACCAAAGTTTTATCATTTTGAGGAAGTCTAATTTATCTATCTCTCTCTCTCTCTTTTTTTTTTTTTTGGTGAGGAAGATTGGCCCTGAGCTAACATCTATTGCCAGTCTTCCTTTTTTTGCTTGAGGGAGATTGTCCCCGAGCTAACATCTGTGCCAGGCCTCCTCTACTTTGCGTGTGGGATGCTGCCACAGCGTGGCTTGATGAGTGGTGTGTAGTCTGCGCCTGGGATCCAAACCCGTGAGCCCCAGGCCACTGAAGTGGAGTGCACTAACTTAACCACTGCACCACTGGGCTGGTCCCCTTTTTGTTGCTTGTGCTTGTGGTGTTGTATCTGAGAAACAATCGCATAATCCAAGGTCATGAAGATTCACTCCTAAGTTTGCTTCTAAGAGTTTCATAGTTTTAGCTCTTACATTTAGGTCTTTGATTTATTTCAAGTTAGTTTTGTATTTGGCGTGAGGTAGGGCTCCTACTCCCTTCTTCAGCATGTGGATGCCCAGTTTTCCCAGCACTGTCTGCTGAAACTATGATCATTCTCTCTCCAGCCCTCTAACGGGACTCTCCCTCCCATCACCCCTCTTGCACAGCTCTTGTCAAAGCCACCAGCAACCACCATGGTCATTCTGAGGCCCTGTCTTACCCCACCTGATGGGGCATATGCCCATCCCTCTGCTCCATTGGACTTCCTTCACTTGGCTTCCAAGTTCCCCTGCCCCTCAGGGTTATTCCTCCTTCTCTTCTCCCCACCCCTTAATGAGGGAGAAGGACCCAGGCTCAGGGCTTGGATCCCCTCCTTCCATGATCCCCTCTCCCTGGTGACCTCAACCAGTGTCCTGGGCTAAATGCCATCCCTGCACCGATTGTCCTCACAACTAAGTCTCCAGCCCAGACTTCCCTCCACTCTGGCCTCACATGTGCCACTGCCTGCTCCACGCTTCCATCTTACTGATGTTGTAACCCAGCATTCCCAAATCAACTCCTGCTCCTGCGCACCACCCTGCTCTTTCCCACCCTCCCCACCCCCAGCAGCTCTGCAGTTAGCCACAGGACCATCCAGATAAAGCCTCATGGACACATTCAGCGTGTGCTGGAGAAGCACAGAGCTGAGGATAGAGTGATGGCGGGGAGCCACTCGAGGCTGGCGTTGCTGAGGAGCCCTGCTCCAACACTCGGGGTCCATGAGGGACAGGGCAGGACAGGCAGGTGGGCGGGGTAGCCACAAAGAGAGCAGATGCACAGGTGGTCTCGTTATGGTAAACACAGGGTGAAAACAAACCCGTTTGCTTCTAGAAGATGAAATAGTAAAACCACTTCATGTTATAGATCACATCTTCAATACAGTTCTTGCGATGGGAATGACACCCTCCTGTTTTGTTTAATCTCAAAGAAGCCAGAAAGTGACTGGCAGAAAATTGACTATATCATGGAATTCAGCGAATGGCTGTATTACAAGCAGTTTCCTATTGAAGACGTGATCTTCCACCTGAGGTCGGCAATCGACATGCTGCTGCTGATGAAACCTGCCAGGGACACACCTGAGCCAGCAGGTAAGGAGACGCGGCCAGGGATGGGGGCTGGCCACCGTCTGGGCTCCTGGGCACACAGGTCCCTTCAACAGTCATGGCTTCTCTCATTCGGAGTCACAGTTCATGTACACAGCACAGTGCCCACCCCTTCACCAGCAGCATGCCCCCTGGAAAGTTCCATGTGGATGCCCCTCAGTGCCCGTGCTCGCGAGAGGGTTCAGGACCCGCTCCACCATTATCGGGTCGCACTAACAGGAAGGCCCAGCCTGTTCTGATAGACAGGATCTGGGGCCAGCTCCCAGCCCCTGCCCCGAGGCTGCAGGAGCAGATGCAGGAATGTACCTCTGGGCTGAGGGGGCTTCACACCCCATGCCAGAGCTTGCCTCCCTTCTGTCCCTCAGCTCAGTCCCTGAGGTTGTGGAGGGATGGAGATGTGTTTGGTTTGGGCTGAGAGGTGAGGGTTCGCTGGGCTGGAGTACTGGTGAGTGGGGGAGCTTCGGGCAGCCCCGCTGTGGCTGAACGTTGGGGGCTTAAAAACCACAGATGCCCCAGGCATCAGCCCAGAGGCTCCACCTAGAAGGTCTGGGTGCAGCCAGGGGTCGCAGCTCCCGGGGGAGATGCTGGTGGGCAGCAGGGTCGAGACCCTGTCCTGGAGGGAGCAGCATTTTGGAGTAAACCAGTCAGCCTTCCTGCGGGGGAGTGGACACAGGGCACAGGCCCAGGGGCTGCTCCAGAGGCCCCTGCATGGCTGGTGCAGGGCTGGGAGGTGACGCAAGCCTGCTCTGTGGGGAAGCCTCTGCTGTCAGAGTGGATGAGGGGTCTTCTCAGGACCCCACAGCCTTGGCGCAGGGGCATTCTGGGAAAACACAGGGTACTCCCACATCCAACCTGCCAAAGGGAAGGTGGTGTGGGTGCACAGATGCTGCTCCATGGGGAGAGCGGATGGGAGGCAGGGGTGGTGGGCATCAGCCTTTCAGAAGAAGTCTCACCTCGCCAGCAAGAGAGCTCTTACACCAGAGGGGCCACGCCCCCAGCAGGGTGGGTGCTCCGGGCAGCAGAGGCCTGTGATGGCCGGCCCAGGCCTGCTCCAGTGGGACCTCTTTCACAGCACTGAGGCAACCTCCATCCTGGGGCTGCTGAATTCAGGGCCCGGGAAAGGGGCAGCCTCCGGTGTGCATGCACTAGCAGCACGCAGACCGCCCACTCAACGTCCAGCCCCCATCTGGGTGAGTCTGGACATCATCTCAGATCGGCTAGGGTGAAACCCTGGAGGGAGGTTCCATTGCTTCCAGCCCCGACCAGCAGACCCCAGAGCTGCAAGATGCCAGCCAGGCACCACTCCAGGCCTGTGACGGGCATCTCCTCGCAGCCCCGACTGTGGCCCACAGCATCCAGGCAGACAGGCCTGTTGTCTCCTGGCACGGGGAGAAGCCCTGGGACAGCCGTCCCTGAGGCCAGCTTGGCCCCTACACGCATGGTCACCCCTTCTGGAAGTGGCTTGGCCCCCAGGACAGGTGGCGGGCATTGACTAGATGACTGCCCTTTGACGGGCGATGTGGGACCTCTGGGAGCCATTTGAGGGCCTGGGAGAGGGGCAGAGAGGAAATGACTGAGGCCCATGGATGCTGGTTTGGGCGTGCTCACAGCAGTGGGCACTCGTGTCTTGCAGAGGAACATAGGTCCCCCCAGGCAACCTCAGAGAGCCCAGGCTCCGAGGACAGGGGGACATTCTCCTTGGAAAGCCTGCGAAGTGTGCGGCAGTTAGAAACGCTGGCCCGTGCACACATCCTGCTGGCCCTGATGGTGTCCCCGAGTGCTGCCGGCTACCAGGACTACTGCCTCATGGCCTACACCTTCCTCAGGCGCATCTGGCAGGTGAGGCAGCAGCTGCCCTCCTGCGAGTCCTCAGCTCTCCTGGGTTCGCAATCTGGGGGCTCGAGTGTTAGCTCTTGCACAGGTTGTCTGAAGACTTTCGAGACGTGAGCAAGCGTCTCTCTACCTTATTCCGTCAGTGTTAAAGGGATCCCGCTCTTGCCCCCACCATCCCCCCTGCTTGGAACTCCTCGGAGGAGGGGCCCTTCCTCCTCTCTGAAACCAGCCCCACACCTTTGCCCACCTTCCCCCCGCCCACCCTCACCACGGTCGCCCACGCCTCTGCATGTGGAGCAGCCAGCCAGCTGAAGCACACGTCTTCCCGACTGTTGGCAGCCCTGGTGTCGCAGATCCTGAACACCTCTGCCACTGGGCTTCCGGAACCTTCTGTGCACCCCTCATGGCCTCCTTGCTCCCCTCCTGCCCCACCACCTCTTACAGGGGCCCCCCAGGGGCCTCTCGTTGATGATGATGGCCTGTCATTCTCGGGGCTCTCTGGCGGGCAGTGACCCCCAGCAGGACAGTGCCCATCATGACAGGCCATTCTTCTGAGGGCAAGTTTGCCCCCTGCCCTCAGTAACTTGCTGGAGAGAACAGGGCCGTCGCCCCTTGGCAGCAGGAAGGATTGGGAAGGCCATCCTTGGTCTTCTAGATGTCCCAGGCCACCCCCTACCCCCCACCACCTGCTGCAAACAATTCTTTTAGGAGAGCTGCTAGAAGTGATTGAAGTGCGTTCTTACTTAGACATTAAACTCACTTTACGGAGCTGACCAGCCTCCTTGAGGGTCAGCGTGTCTGCCCCTCACCCCCACGCCCCCACTGGTCCAGAGTCCTGGGGGGATGCCCCGAGTGTAGAGGAGGGCTGGCCGAGTGTCCCAACCACAAGGGACGCTGCAGCCGCCTCTGCATGGGGTGGGCGCACTGGCTTGGCCAGTACAAGAGTGGACACGAGGCTCCCGCTCCAAGCCTTAGGGTCACCAGCACCCCTGATTTGAGCATGTAGTAAGAAGGTGGGGAGGTATGTCTGTCCTTACAGTTGCAAATTTGGATTTAATTTTTCCCAGGTTTCTTTACTGACAGCGGGAAAGTCAATTTTAGAAAATAAAATTCTAGCAGCAGCTAGTTCACGTTTGTCGTTGCCTAAAAAAGAGAAGGAGAAGGAGAAGAGCAAGGACAAGGACAGAGAGAAGGGCAGAGACCCAAAGCAGGTAACCGTGCTGTCCTAGGCGCCAGCCTGTGCCCAGGCGGCCTCATGGGTTGTCCCAGAGGCAGGGCAGTGGAGGGCAAAGGCCCCAGAAGGGGCCACTCCCAGACTGTGGGATCTGAGGAACTCTGTGCCTTAGTTTCTTCTGTAAAATGGACACAGAAGTCTCACCCTCACCCACCCTGGGGTTGTTAGGAGGGTAACGATGGGATGTCTGGTCTTCTCCCTGGTGCTTATCTCGTGCCACAGCGAGTCACCAGACAAATACCTTTGCACAGTCACTCCATGCAGGCAGATCTGGGTCCTGGGTGTGCAGGGCGGGGAGTGAGAAATAGCTTCTCCATCACATGGTGGCCTGTACCACACATCGGACCTTTCACTCTGAAGTGTCTGCATGTCCACGTGGCTGTGCTCACTGCAGCCCATCTGACAGTGGTCCTGTCTGCACAGCCCTCCAGACCAGTGACGCACACCTGGGCTCCAGCACGAAGTCCTCGTGCCCTCATTCACCCAGCCTTTCCCGAGCGTGGGATGTGCAGGTGGGGAGGGGCCGTGAGCCTGGGGCACCCCAGGTAGACTCTGGCTGTGCAAGGGCAGAAGGCGTCTGTTTGCACTCTTGAAAGTGATGTCAGAGCATGGTTTGGAGGTAAAACTGAATGTGGCTTTGGTTTGGCTGCTGCCAGGGCTGGGATCTTAGGGCAGCCATGTGCCGTGGGGCTCGAGGGAGAGTGCAGACACGCAGCCCTCGGTCTCCAGGGACACTGCCTTCTCAAGGCTCCTGACCTGTCTACTCAAGCTGTAACACCTGGGCGTACATTTTCAACTCCACTTGATAAAGCAAATCCTGCGTTTCTGCCTTTCAGTATCAAATCCCAAGTCCTAGCAAACTGCCTGAAGCTTTGCCGGCAAGCATAGAAGAATGGGCTTCCTACTCCTGCCCTGAAGAAGTGGTGTCTGTGTTTAAACAAGATAAAAGTGACTTTACTATTAACCCATCGAGTATCCAGAAGCCAGTAAGTTGACTTAAAGAAATTGTCCCAGGCCTTGGAAATACACTGGCTAGCCTGCATTCCCGCCGTATCGTCTCCTTGACTTGTAGGTCCAGCCAGGGTCTTCCATTGTGAAATGTTCCCAGAAAGAGGAATACAAGAACAGGCCTTTACTTAGTGGATTGTTCAGAAGGGAGCCACGTCACCGCCCGGGTCAAGGCACAGGGACAGTCAGCCCCGGCCCCTCCCGCAGCCCACACTCAGCCACACTCTACCCTCATCCGTGGGAAACACTTCCTTCTTTTCCTCACACATTCACCACCCAAGTAACACCCCTAAATGTGAACATTAGTTGTGTGTTAGTGTCCTGTGGCTGCCATAACGCGTTACCACAAACCAGGTGGTTTAAGCAGGAGAAATGTGTTCTCCCATAGTTCTGGAGCCCACAAATCCAAAATTGGTACCACTGGACCAAAATCAAGGTGTCAGGGGGCCACGTTCCCTCTGGAGGCTCCAGGAGACGATCCCTCTTGCCTCCTCCAGCTCCTGGTGCTTTGGGGCTTGTGGCTGCCTCACCCCCAGTCTCTGCCTCCGTCTTCTCGTGGCCTCTCCTTGGTGTGTCACGTCTCCTGCTGCTTTCCTCTTGTAGGGACCCATGTGATTACATTTAGGACACGAGGATAATCTCCCCATCTCAGGATCCTTATCTTAATCACACCCGCAGTCCTTTTTTGCCGCATAAGGTCACATGTACAGGTTCCAGGTGTTAGCACCTAATGACTTTGAGGGCCATTATTCAACCCACTACGTTCTGCCTGTTTTCCGTGCTGTGTAAAAATGGAATCATTCAGTGTATAATCTTTGGTATTGGCTTCTTTCATTCAGTTCTGTTTGTGGGACTCCTCTGTGCTCGTTTGTGTCTCTACAGTTTTTTTATGTTCATGGCTGTAGGATATTCCATGGCATGACTGGACCACAATCTATTTGTCCATTCAACTGTTAATGGACATTAGGGTTCTTTCCGGTCATGGCTATTACAAAGGAAGCTGCTGTGGGCATTCGTGTACATGTACCTCAGTGCCCACATGCCCACGTGTCTGGAGCACATGCCCAGCAGCAGAATTTCTGGGTCACAGCATGCGTATCTTCAACCACAGGGTATATAGCCAAATTGCCTTAGAAAGTGATCACGTCACCCACAGGAGCAGGAGTCCCTGTGCCCACAGCCTTGCCAGCCTCATGTGGCTCACCTTCTGGACCTTGACTGTTGGTGGATGTGTGGCAGCATCTCATGTGACTTAACTGGACACTCCCTGGTTACAGCAAGGTTGGATGCCTTGCAATGCTTGTTGGCCATTTGTAGATCCTCCTTTGTGACGGGCCTGTCCGATCCACTGCCCACACTTTATTACACTGTCTGTCTTTTCCTTCTTGATGCAAAGGAATTCTTTGTCTATTCTGGAAAAAGCACTGTGACAATTTGTGGACAGCAGATCACCATCTACTCCGTGCGTTGGCTTTCTTGAGGTTTTCTCGTGAATAGAGATTCCTAGTTTTAAAGTAATAAAAAGTATTAATCTTTTTCCTTGTGACTAGTGCTTTTTGTGTCCTCTTTTTTTAAAAAAAAATCTTCTTTTCCCAAAGGTCATGTAGATATTCTCTTACAGTGTTTTTCCAAGAGCCTTATAGCTTTACGTGTGAGATTTAGACCCATAATCTGCCTGGAGTAGGTTTGTGTGTGGCATGAAGGGAGGGATCTGGCTTCAGATTTTTACGTCTGGCTATCTACATGTTCTAACATCATTTACTGAAGAAGCATTTGCCCACCTTCTTTGCACCACGTTTGTCACAAATCAAGTGTGCACATGTGCACCACCATCTCACTGTCTGGATTCCTGAGCTTCCTAACCTTGATGTGAGGTGAACGCCCCCTCACCTGACTCTTGAGGCAGGTCCTGGAGGTCCCCTCCGCTTTCCATCGTTTGCTTCCACGTGATTTTTAGAACCAGCCTGTCAGATTCCATTAAAGCCCTGGTGGAGCTGTGATTGTGATTGAATTGAATATCTAGATCTGTTTTAGATTTAGGGCAGAATTGATATCTTTGTCCTTTTGAGTCTTCCAATCCATGAACATGGTCTGTCCCTGTTAATTAGTTCTTCTCTAACTTCTCAACAATGGATTTGAGTTTCTGCCTGGAGGTTATGCACATGTTAGATTTATTTCCATGTATTGATATTTTTGATGCTATTATAAATATACCTTTTTGTTTCATTTTTTAACTCCACATGAAATATAGAAATATATTGTTTTCATGTTGACCTTGCAGTCATCAATTTTGTTAACCTCTTAATAATTTTGGTAATTTACCTGTGGATTCTTTTGGATTTTGTGTGTATGCAATCATTTCATCTACAAACAATTTTTTCTTAACTTTTTATTGAGATCATGATAGTTTACAACCTTGTGAAATTTCAGTTGTACATTATTGTTTCAGTCGTGTTGTAGGTTCACCACTTCACCCTTTGTGCCCACCCCCCACCCCCCTTTCCCCTGGTAGCCACTAATCTGGTCTCTTTGTCTCCATGTTTAACTTCCACATATGAGTGGAGTCATACAGAGATTGTCTTTCTCTATCTGGCTTATTTCACTTAACATAATACCCTCAAGGTCCATCCATGTTGTTGTGAATGGGACCATTGTATCCTATTTTATGGCTGAGTAGTATTCCATTGTATATATATATGCACCATATTTTCTTTATTCAATCATCAGTTGATGGGCAGTTAGGTTGCTTCCACATCTTGGCTATTGTAAGTAATGCTGCAATGAACATAGGGGTACATGGGACTTTTGGAATTGCTGATTTCAAGTTCTTTGGATAGATACCCAGTAGTGGGATGACTGGGTCATATGCTATTTCTATTTTTAATTTTTTGAGAAATCTCCATACTGTTTTCCATAGTGGCTGCACCAGTTTGCACTCCCACCAGCAGTGTATGAGGGTTCCTTTTTCTCCACAACCTCTCTAACATTTGTTACTTTTTGTTTTGGTTATTTTTGCCATTCTAATGGTTGTAAGGCGATATCTTAGTGTAGTTTTGATTTGCATTTCCCTGATGATCAGTGATGATGAGCATCTTTTCATGTGCTTATTGGCCATCCGTATATCTTCTTTGGAGAAATGTCTGTTCATGTCCCCTGCCCATTTTTTGATTGGGTTGTTTGATTTTTTGTTGTTGAGTTATGTGAGTTCCTTATATATTATGGAGATATATGTCAGATATATTTGTCAGATATATGACTTGCAAATATTTTTTCCCAATTAGTGGGTTGTTTTTTGTTTCAATCCTGTTTTCCCTTGCCTTGAGGAAGCTTTTTAGTCTGATGAAGTCCCATTTGTTTATTCTTTCTATTGTTTCCTTTGTCTGAGAAGACATGGTGTCCAAAAAGATCCTTTTAATACTGATGTCAAAGAGTGTACTGCCTATATTTTCTTCTAGAAGCCTTATGGTTTCAGGTCTTACCTTTAGATTTTTGATCCATTTTGAGCTTATTTTTGTGAATGGTGAAAAAGAATGGTCAATTTTCATTGTTTTACATGTGGCTGGCCAGTTTCCCCAGCACCATTTGTTGAAGAGATTTTCTTTTCTCCATTGAAGGCCCTCAGCTCCTTGATCAAAAGTTAGCTGTCCGTAGATGTGTGGTTTTATTTCTAGGCTTTCAATTCTGTTCCATTGATCTGTGCACCTGTTTTTGTACCAGTACCATGCTGTTTTGATTACTGTAGCTTTGTGGTATGTTTTGAAGTCAGGGATTGTGATGCCTCCAGCTTTGTTCTTTTTTCTCAGGATTGCTTTAGCAATTCGGGGTCTTTTGTTGCCCCATACAAATTTTAGGATTCTTTGTTCCATTTCTGTAAAGAATGTCATTGGGATTCTGGTTGGGATTGCATTGAATCTGTACATTGCTTTAGGTAGTATGGACATTTTAACTATGTTTATTCTTCCAATCCATGTGCATGGAAAGTCTTTCCATCTCTTTATGTCATCATCAATTTCTTTCAGGAAAATCTTGTAGTTTTCGTTGTATAGGTCTTTCACTTCCTTAGTTAAATTCACCCCAGGGTAGTTTATTCTTTTTGTTATGATTGTGAATGGTATTGTGTTTTCTGTCAGTTCGTTATTAGAGTATAGAAATGCTACTGATTTATATAAGTTGATTTTATACCCTGCAACTTTGCTGTAGTTGTTGATTGTTTCTAATAGTTTTCCAATGGATTATTTGGGGTTTTCTATGTATAAGATCATGTCGTTTCGAACAGCGAGTTTCACTTCTTCACTCCCTATTTGGATTCCTTTTATTCCTTTCTCTTGCCTAATTGCTATGGCCAAAATCTCTAGTATTGTGTTGAATAAGAGTGGTTATAGAGGGCATCCTTGTCTCATTCCTGTTCTCAGGGGGATGGCACTCTGTTTTTACCCATTGAGTATGATGTTGGCTGTGGGTTTGTCGTATATGGCCTTTATTATGTTGAGGTAATTTCCTTCAATCCCCATTTTATTAAGAGTTTTTATCATAAATGGCTGTTGGATCTTGTCAAATGCTTTCTCTGCATCTATTGAGATGATCATGTGGTTTTTATTCCTCAGTTTGTTGATGTGGTGTATCACATTGATTGATTTGCAGATGTTGAACCATCCCTGTGTCCCTGGTATGAATCCTACTTGATCGGGATGTATAATCCTTTTGATGTATTGCTGAATTTGGGTTGCCGGAATTTTGTTGAGAATTTTTGCATCTGTGTTCATCAGTGATATTGGCCTGTAGTTCTCCTTTTTCGTGCTGTCCTTGTCAGGCTTTGGTATCAGAGTGATGTTGGCCTCATAGAATGTGTTACGAAGTGTTCTATCCTCCCTAATTTTTTGGAATAGCTTGAAAAGTATAGGCATTAAATCCTCTCTGAAAGTTTGGTGGAATTCCCCAGGAAAGCCATCTGGTTCTGGGCTTTTATTCTTTGGGATGC